TGAAAATTTATAACTTTTAACCACTCCATCTAATTCTAAAGCAAAGATATTTGGATATTAAATGAATTTATATGCTCCTAATTATGAGTAATAAAGAATTTATTCAGGTTAATAAAGATTTTCTTCAAGTTAATCCTCTTTAACTTATTGAAATTAATTAGAATATACTAGTAATGGAAACTGTTAATTTTTAATATAAAAGGCTAACTATTTCTAAATTTGTTCTACTCTTATAATTTCAATATTAGAGTATTCTTAAATCTCATTAAATAAGCCCTAAGAAAATTTAATCATTTTTAATGATTTTTTTTATTTATTAATTATATAATAATTTCCTAGGTATTCAAATACTTCATTCTTTTAAGTGTTAATGATTAATTATATTTTATTTGTGGAACAATTCAGAAAATTAATTGAATTTTCATCCTAAAAAACTAAATTTTCAGATCTTAAAGATTTTAATTAAATTTTTTTATTGAAACTATATTTTTTTAATTAAGAGTAACATAAGATTTCTAATTATACCTCATTCCAAATACTTACATTTACTAGTTAACTTAAAATAAATTCATTTTATAAAAAAGATTGAAACGATAAAAAAGAGAGAAGGGTTGATTAATTATTTTCGCAATTTTTGAAGATTAAACCTTAAAATTCATGTTCCTGTTTTAAATTCTCATATTCAATTTTAAGGCACATTAACAACTACTTTTTAGCAAACCCACTGAATCTAGCAATCATATATAAAAATTATTATTTTGGCTCAATATATCCACTAAATGGATAATATATATAGAATTATAAAGTATTTTAAGTTTTGTCAATTTAATAAAATAAGTTATCTTATTCAAAGAAATGTAATGATGAATTCAAAATTTGATATTTTTATTTTAGATGTTGATCTAAAATAATAGTAAGTTCATTTTAATTTTATAAGAAGAGAAAATCTGAAAAAAGTTGAATTTGATCAAAACTGTAAATTTCTTCTAAAATAATTTCGTGATTTTTATAATCATACTAATACATATTTATCTCTTTTAAATGTGTTATCAAAAATAGTTTCGAGCAAAATTAAAACAATACCAATTTTTATATTTTATTTTTAGTTATAAACAATGTTGGAAATACTTCTTAATAATTTTATTACCAATAAAATTGAAGATAATGATATCCTTCTATAAGGTATATACCCACTAATTTTGATTAGCAAAATTATACATCATCAATTTTTGAGAATTGTTTAAGTAAATGACCATATTCTTTCATTCCAGGTTCCATTATTATTCTTTTTTCCTATTTAGTGAATTCAAAAATTTTCCATTTAGAACATTAGAAAAAAGCAATCAGAAACTAATTATTATCCAGAAGCCGATATTGTTTTTTCTTGCACTTATCTTAAATTTAATTTGAAACATCATATTCATATAAAAGAAATGATGAATTACCTAATTTACTCACAAAATATTATTTTAAATTAAATTATGTCAGGCAAAATATCATAAAATTTCCATCATTGAGTTAATAAAATTCATCACAACTCTCTTCTGAAGATATATTCGTTTCTATTCTAATCTCTTCTTATAAATTACCATTTATTCCATAGTTTAATGAATTATAACTCATACATGTTATATAATATTTTAAATTTAAAAACAATGAACATATTAGTTTCTAATAAATAAAGACTTACTTTTCAGATTTGAATATTTTAATTTAAATTGGTAAATCTTTAAATGGCAGAGTGAATGCTTTTTAAATAATTTCTTAATCAATATTTTTGAGATTGTAATAATCTTCCTCATTTCCTTACAGAATGTAGCAATCATTAAAGTATCCATAACATGTCATTTTCTGTTCATATTGCTCAACCTCACATGAAGTTGTATTTGAATATATTTGAAAAATATAGAATCCTAAAATTAAAAAATACAAATACATATTCTTTATTTAATTGAAAAATATCATAAATAAATACACTCAAAATATTAATGAAATAATTTAAAAAACTTGATTTTAGTTATGGCAAATAAGTTTATAATTTTATAATTATTTTAATTGATCCATTAAGAATAGACTTATTTATCTTCTTGTTAATTAAATCTTATTTCAAATAAAATATTTATGAGAATTATAAATGCACGATTAATTAATAAATTTCATAAAAAAATACCACCTCAAAACTTGAATTCAGTAGTAGTTTCTAGTATAATTTTTGGTTAAATTATAATATAATTAAAATGATAGATATTTTTAATTCTTTCACATTTTAGACATTATTAATAGGGTATATTTAAAATTGCAAATACAAATTCTTAAAGAGAACAAGAAATATGAAAAAAATCTTTTTATATCTAGAATTTTTAGATTTATGTTTATTTAAATATAAAAATATATTTTAGTATAGAAGAGAGATGGATAAATAAAATATAAATAAAAATAATTAAATCAATCATCTGTTACTGTTTATATTGCAGTATTAGTAGAACCATCTTTAAAACTATAGGTTTTGGTAATCTGTATAATAGTATATCCATTTAAAATACTGATTTTTTTTTCAGTGTGTGTAGAAATAGATTGAGGTGGATAATAAGTTACTAAATGTATAGAATAATAAATAACTTTCATTTTCTTCAGCAGGTCCAAGTTTTTCAAGATGTTTTTACTCTTTTTCAGCACCATAAGGTTTAAAATCTTTTGCAAAATCAAGTACACAGAGAGTTTCATATTATGAATGATTACCAGATGCAATTCCAACCATAGTAAATTGTGAATTAAAACAATTTTAACGATGTCCTCTTGAAGATACTCCATCATCAATTAATAATTATAAAATAACATCTTGTCCTGTTTTTTATCCAAAACTAATATTTTCTCCTACAAGTCCATTAAATTATCCATATTTTTGAATTCTATTAATAAGTGTCTATCCTTTAGATCCTTCATGACCACATATACCTTTTGGTCCTATATCATTAATATGATCAATGCAAGCTTATTCCAAACCTCTTTCAAATGTTAAAAGTGGTTATGGTTGTTACTATTCTAAATACTAAATTAATTCTAAAATGTTTAAAAAATAATACCTTATAAAGCTTAAGGACCTTCATTTGTTTATAATGGTATTTCACCAGGTTTATAAAGAACAAATCCTTTAAAATATGTAATTAATTCTTTAATTTAAGAAATGGCTCTTTTAGGATCTTATCTAACTTAATTCAAATATTCAAATGCTTCAATAGAAATATTTGTAGATGAATATTTTAATTAATCTTTAAGAGTACTCTTCTATTATTTAGATTAAATATTAGAATCAGAATCCTTTTATTATTATTTTTGAATATTATCTTTATCTTCATTTTCTATTTGATTATTCTCCTAATATTCACCTGCAAAATCCATTACGCAAACATTTTTATATTGTTTATGTTAACCATCATAAATTCCTACAAAACCAATTTCAGATTTAAAACAATTTTTTCTATGTCCTCTTGATGAAACACCATCATCAATAATTAATTGTATTATTACTATAATATTTTAATATTAATATTATATACCATCTTCTCCTGTTTTTTAACCAAAACTAATATTTTCACATATTGATTTATCCCATTCACCATATCTCTCAATTCTATCACTCATAGATGATCCATCTGAACCATTATGACCTATTAAACCTTTAGATCCTATATCTTTAACATGATCTCTTGCTGCAGATTCTAATCCTTTACTCCACTTTAATTCACCAACACCTTTCTGATTATTTAGAAATTCTATACATTCTTAAATCATATTCAATTTTATCTATACCTTTAACAGCTAAATCACCTTCATTTGTTAATAATACTATTTCTCCTGGTTTATAAAAACTTTTCCCTTTAAAATACTTCAAAAGTTCTTATAATTTAGGGATCCCCAACTTTGGATCTTTACGAAGCATATTTAGATATTCAAAAGCTTCCTTTGAAATTTTGCTCATTAATATAAATATTTATAACCTTCAATATTAATATCTATATTTATCATTCAATATACATTTATATTCAAATACTATCCATATTTATTATTTAAATTGATTAACTTTTTTCTAATCCTTATTAACACTTATCTTTTTTAGTTTATTTACATTTTGAATTTCTCCTTATTTATACTTTTTTATATTTATGTCACCCTTATTACATATATATATATATTTAATGAAATCTAAAATATATGAAGTAGCTATTTTTCAAGAATTAAGGGTCTTTTGTAATTTAAGAGATTTTATATATTAATTATTTTCCCCATTATTTTTATTATAATCTTTATTTTTACAGTTACAAACCTTTGCATTTCATAAATAAATTATATTAAAATATTATATAAATAAAAATTAAATGATTAACACTTATTTATATGAATTCTGTGATAATTAATTAGAAAAAGAAAGGAATTTAAGTGGATATATAAAATTATCTTAATTTATAATCGCTTACTCATAAAATTTTAATTATTTGAACATAAAAGATTAATCTTAATTAAGAGGAGGAGGTTGTGGTAACTTAAAAAAATAAAATTCTGAATCTTTCAAAGTACCTATCAATTTTGCAAATTTATTAAAACGATATGCAATTACAATAGAAGATAAAGCTTTGACATTTTAAGATAAATTTTAAAGAGATGAAGGACTAATTGCTTTTTTGTGGTTTCAAAATAATCGAATTAATTTTAATTCACTCTGTTAAGATGAACAACTTTGTTAACAATATTCAGAATTACTTCTTTTTATTTTAGAAAAAATTTTGAAATCTGCAGTTCAATATTTAAAAGTTTCAGGATTTCTTTTTCATCAAATTTTATAAATATGTAATGATATATTACGTGTACATTTTTCTTCATAATAAAAGAATAATGATAGATATCTTGATTAAGATAAAAAAACATTGTTTTTAGGTATTATTGCTGAAATTGAAACTTAAATAGATATTGAATCCTAAAATATTTGGATGAATGGAATTAAATTTGAACTTTAACTGATAAAAACTTGTTTATCACATTGCAGAACGAATTCTGAAAAAGGAAAAGAATTGTTTGTAGGTTTACTAAGTGGTATTGTTTCATCAATTACTTCTCTTTAACCAAGTGAAGAATTAATTTAATCTCTAATTGATGGAGCGAAATTTCTATTATAAAACTTTTATGATTAAAAAATCTAACATCCTCTTAAAAAATATGAAGTTTATTATTTTTTTGAAAACTTAAAATGGTAAATAATTAGTTAAGTGTAATTAGGATTTTCAGTATAAAATATTATTAATTAACTTGAAGATGGTTATATGAAATATATAAAAAAATCAAAAGAATGGATGATTCATTATTGTTGGATATCTATGATTTCAGATTTACTTAGATATAGACCTATTATTCATAAAGATGATATTAAAAAATATTCTTTTAATTAAAAAACAAAATAAGATATGTGGAATCAATTAATTCAAGACAAAATGATAGAAATATTACCATATGATAAGAGTTTAGCAAGAGTAAGAATCTTTATAGATGAAACAAGTCATTTAAATTTGTTTTCTGAAATTAAACTTCTTTAGGAATATTTATTAAATGAAAATTCTCTCAAAATGAAACTATTACCTTAATATATAAACTTTGAATTTGATAACAATGAAAATTATAAAACTGATGAAAATGATGAAATTATATAAATGTTATTTAATAATTAAGAATCAGAAATTATTAATAAACTTATTTCTATTCTTGATCTTGCAAAACAAAAATTAAAAGTCTCAATCATTTAGATCTTTGAAAAAATTTAAAAATTTTTTTCCAAAGAAAAATCTTCTGATATCATAATAAGAATATTGATATAAGACATTTCATTATTAATTAAAAGTTCTAAAAAATTAATTTTGAAAATTTATTACATCTTTTTGGAACTAGAAGTTTAATTTTTTAAAAGCAGAGAAAAAAATTAAATATTAAGTAAATTTCTTTAATTTAATTAAATTACAATTGGAGATGAATTTACAAAAAAATTTTAAATTTACACAGATGAAGATAAAAAGGTAGAAGAACAATTTTAGTAGAATTTTTTATAATAAATTTTGAAAATTTCTATTGATGTTCTAGATTATTTGATTTTTTGTAAAACAAAATTATAACAAGCACATACTATTGAACTTAGTAAAGAAGAAATAGAGAAAAAATAAAGTCAAATTAATTTTTAAAATTTAGAGACATCAATTACTAATTAATGTGAGTTAGCTTAAACCATAAATTAATCTATACGAATTTTTAAGTTATAAATTTAAAAACATTTATAAGCTAAAGAGGCTAATTTTATTTTGAATCAAAATATGAGTTTAGATTAATTTAAACATATCTTTTTTTCAATTTACAATTCAAATCTATTAATAAAATTTCTTGAAGTATTTAATAATTTATTTTAATAAGTGTAATAGAATCTCAGACATGATTTAGACTCATAAATCTAAAATACAAAAACAATTTTATTTTTAATTTTAATTCAAAAATTTTAAAGAAGAATAATTACAATTTAAAAAATAAAATTTAATCAATTAAATGAACAATTATCAAATGAAATTAAAGAATTAAAAAATTCTTAAAAAAAAGAATCAAATGTAGACCAAGTAAAAAAAGAAATTTCAGAAAATGTTTATAATTAAATTTTAAAATAACAATAAATGCTCTCAGAATTATTTACAAATATTCTTAATTAAACCTTTGAATAAATTTAAAAATAAAAATTAATCTCAAAATTAAATGAAGATATATTTTTTTTTTAAAGTAAGTATCCTCATCATCCTGAATCTAAATAATTTATTTTATTATGTGAAACTGTAAAATTAAAATTAACATATTTTTAATAAAGTAATTTTTAGGAGGAAACCCAAAAAAAAATTTTATAATGTTACAATTCTTTTTTAAATAAAATTAAAGATTCAGCTCAAACTGAAAGTACAATAAAAAATTCGAATATTTAATAAAAAGAAAATTATAAATAAACATTAAATATTTAATAACTTAATTTGTCTAGATTTATTAGTTATTTCAAACATAAAATAAATGAGATTGATTAAAAAATTGCATTACTTAAGTAAATATTTGATCTAATCATCAAATTTTCAAATAATGCTATTGAAAATCAAAATTAAAAAGAATAAGATTATATATCACTTATCAAAACATAAGAAATAGATACTATTATAGAATTATTTACACACTTAAATATAAAAAAGGAAGAGGAAAATTTAGAATTATTAGAGTTTAATAATATAGTTTTGGATGAAAATAATTCTAATAATTTTAGAAAAACTTTAAATTAAATCAATACTACTGAACCATTAACTATAGAACCGTTTTCAGTATATTTATTTTTATTTGATATAAATATCAATATAACTTCATTTTTAGAGAAGAATTTAGAAATTTAAATAGATGTAGATCAAACTTTTTAAGATCTTATAGTTGAACTTAATTAGGATGACACATAAAATTAGCAATAATCCATATTCAACACTCTCAAAGAAAAATCTCTTAAAGTAAGAGATTATATTTCACAAAATTTAATCAACTAATCTTACAAAGTGCGTGAATGTCTTGTTTTTAATCTCATTGTAATTTAAAATGCTGTTTAAGAAAACTAAATATATTTAAAAACACAATAACTTATTAAACAAGTATGGATATAAGAAAAAGATTCAAATGTCAGAAGCATATTAAAAAATTAGGAATTGTTAGAGATGCAAAAATAATTATTTTCAAAAGATCTAAAATCATTTGCTTTTTTAATTTAATAAGATTTTGAGAATTCAAGAAAAAAGATTGAGGAACTTGAAGAAGTTCTTTTAACTGAAGATAATAAAGGAGAAATTTAAAGCCAAATTTAATAGGCTTATTAAGATTTTGAGAATAAATTAGAAAATATAAATGATATGTCTTAAAAGTTGGATATTAGTTTGATATTTCTAAAAGATATTAGTAAAGATTTAAAAAATCTCAAAATTAAGATGGATAAATTATTGTCTTAAGTAAATTCAATTGAAAGTGATATAAGAATTTTAAGAGGAAAGCATTTTTCAGAATTGTTACGAATTAGAAAATAAAAATTATTAAGAACAAAAGTCGAAAACTAAATAGATTAAATTCATATTGAATTAGAAACATAAGAATATGATCCAACAAGTGGAAAAAAAAAAGATGAAAAATCCTTTTTATTTTAAAAAAAATTTGATGATTTTTCTGGGGAAATCAATGAATTTTTATGGGATCCTAAAGAGAGAAATAAGGATATAATGTTAATAAAAGGAAAAGCTGGTTCTGGAAAAAGTAGAGCTGCAAAAAATGTTGAAGAATATATTTGGATGAATGATTAACAAGAACCTAATTGGATACCAATTTATATATCTTTACCATAAATAAAATATCCTTAGCATAATTTAATTGATTAAGGTTTAGAAACAGAAAATTATAAATTTGATAAAATTTAAACAAGGGAATTTAAAGATGCAATAATTAAAGGAACTCTAAAAGTGATTTTTATTTTAGATAGTTATGACGAAATGAAATCAGAATTAATAGAATCAAATTTATATTTAACAAATAGATTCTTTTAAGAATTTGAACTCTTAATCACAGGAATAAAAATGAAATTTATTATAACAACTAGAGAAGAAATTTTATCTTCTATTGGATATTAAACATGGTTTTATGGAAGCAAATTAGAAAATCTTAAGGAAGTAGAGTTACTTCCATTTAATAGTAATTAAAGTAATGAATATATTAAATAATACATAACACTTAGTGTAAAAAGAACTGTTAAAGAATATTATGAATACTATAATTAAATTTAAGGTCGAAATTTTTCATATTCTGAATATTCATCTATTTGGTCTTAATTAGAACCAATTTTTTATAAATTAAGAGATTTAGAATTGAATTAAAATTTAAGATTAAAGATATTTTCAGAGACTACTGTATAAATTTTTATTTCTGCAATAAAAAAAGATAATTGTTTAAAGAATTTAAATAATAAATAGATTTTATCAATGTAAAAAGAATTACTTTCACTTTGGGGAGAAGAATAATTTTAAAGAACCATTAATAATGCACAAATAAGGTAATTATTGACAACTCCTTTTATGAATGAGATTATGGTTCAAATAATCCCTAAAATGGCCTAATAATATTCATCAGCTGAAGTAATAAAAAATATCTTAATTAAAAATTATAAGAAACTAAAGTTATACTAAATTGAGTCTAATGAAATTCGAGATCTTTAAGAGATTTAAGTTAAAAATTTTGAAGCTTATTAAAAAAATATATAACAATAATAATTAAAGGATGAATATAGAATAAAAAAGAATTAGCTTGATTCAGATTTAAAGAATATTTTAAGGAGATTGGATGATAATAATTTTTTTGAGAGTTTTTCAATATCTAATATTATAGATTTTTAAGATAAAGATACATTAATATCTAATTAAGAAATGATTACTTTGCCTAATGAAGCTGAATTAATTTCTTAAGCATTAAATTATAATTAACTTACCCCTTATGATTTCTATTGTATGTTTATAAACTACTATCATAGTTAGCAATTATTAAAGTAAAGAGATTAAGGTTCAATAAAAAATTTGGAAAGTATTATGATCGATATATAGGATTTTTCAACCTATTTGGCTTTAGATATGTCTTTAAGAGAAATGAGTTCAATTAATTATAAATAAAAGGGAAAGCTTGATCTTTAACATACAAAAGATGATGGTAAATAACATGGTTCATGGGAAGATTGCTATTTTAATGAACATCTTTCAGATTCTGAATATAAATAATTTATTAGAAAATGTAGCTTAATTTAGAGTAAAGGAAGTAACCATTCTTTTAATCATAAATCTATTTAAGAGTTTTTTGTTGCTTAATATATTTTGCAACTTTTTGAAAGTATACAATTATAAAATATAGATAATTAAAGTTTGAATGTATCAAATAATGATTTAAAAAAAATTGAGAAAAGTTTTTACAATAAGATTTAATTCAACATTTCATAAGATCATTATTAGGGAGCAATTTCTCTTTTAAAAGAAAAGCTTAAACACATAGAAAATATAAGACAAAAATTAATTTATTTTGTATAATTGTCTAAAATAGATACTTAATATGTATTCAAAAGAGCTGCATCTAATTCAATGTAACTTTTAAATATTTTAGATGAATATCTTGGAGGGTTGGATTTTAATTCAATAAGTTTATCAGATATTAAATTAAATGGATTAAGTTTTAGTGGTAGTGATTTATCAAAAACAAATTTTGAAAATGTCTAAATAGATGCTTGTAATTTTAATGACTGCAAAATGATTGAAGCTAAATGGAATAATATTGTTTGTAAAGAGTAACCTTTTATTAAGGCTCATGATAATTAAATAAACTTTTTTTATTTGAATAATGATGAAACTAAAATTGTTACAATTAGTGAGGGAACACTCAAATTATGGCATTATGAAGATGATTAAAATAAATTGAAAATTATAAATGAAGCTTAACATAATTTTAAGTAGGTTTTCTCAATTTACCTATTCTCAAGATTAGACTAAATAATATTTCACTATTAAAAAGATGATCCAAATATGAAATATTTTTCCTTATAATCTACTGATAAAAATTCAAATGAATAATTTCCAATAATTATCAGCTATTTATGTGATAGATATGCAGTTAGTTATGAAGAATAAACTATAGCATTTGTAATTAATGGAGAATTGCAATTATTTAAACTAAACGATTTAAAAAATGCTTTATCATATCCAAATAATACAGTCTAAGAATAAAACATAAATTCAATAGCTATATCCATAGATTAAAATATTTTAATATCTGGACATCATAATGGATAGATTAATATTTGGGATATTTCTAATCTATAAAATATTAATAAAATATCAACTATAAGAGAAAACTAAAATGATGTTGCTACATTAGTAGAACTTTCAGAAAAATCTCATTTATTAGTCACTTCTTCAAATTAAGCAATTAAAATTTGGAATATTTAATAACCATAACACATCAAACAAACATTATAGATGGAATTGTTTGATTCACCATTATAAATGGTTTTTTCAATTTCAGGAAATACTTTAGCTTTAAGAATGAAAAATTATATTATGATTTACAATAAATCATATCCCTTTAAATAAGACTACAATAAAAAAATAATAAAAATTCAATAAGAATAAGTTGGTTGTGCTGCCATATCTCCTAATAGTAAATGGATGGCAACATTTAGTTCGGGTTTTGTAGTATTATGGAATATTGAATATTATGATAATATTGTCTAACTAAATAAATTTGAGGTTCCAAATGGACAGATACTTTTTGTTTTATCTTTTTCACCTGATGGCAAATTTTTAGCAGCAAATAGTGCTAACAAGTTATTTATATGGAATACAACAAATTTTAATTTAATTAGAGAAACCAATTTAATCAAAAATGCTTAAAAAGAATTCTTTTAAGGTATTATTTTTTCTTCTGATTAAAAATTCTTGATGCTTTATTATGATAATTGCATAACGTATTTAGAAATTTAAAAAAAAGGATCTAGATTATTTTAATTAAGTATTTAATTAAATTATGTATGCATTTCTAAAAATGATGAGTTAACTTTTTGTTGTACTAATTAAAAAATTGAAATATGGAATTTTCATACTTTTAGTCTTATAAAAATCTTGATTTTTGGAAATATTTAAAAAAATGATGTTTTAATCACTTTTAGCTTATCAGAAAATGATAAAGAAATGATTTGTATTTTTTAATCATCAAATTAAATAAGATTTGATATTTACTAATTAGATGATTAATTTAATCATAAATTGAAATAAAGCTAAAGTTTAATAATTGAAAAAACAATCCAAAATCTTTTAATTACTAATATTGAAGGAGGAATCTTTGTGGATTATTTAAACTACATACTAAATAGTGAATTTATGCCTTTTGAGATAAAAATAACAATATCAGGATAGGCTGTATTTTAAATTTCTAAAAATAAATAATTTTGTTTAATTCAAAATAATAATAGTTGTTTAATTAAAGTTTTTGAATAAAAAAAATAAATATTATTCTATAGATGTGAAGACTTAGCTATATCTAATAATGAAGATTTATTAGCTGTTGCTACTGATTAGGCATTATTAATAAATCTGTAAAATCAAAATATAGTATATTCAAATAAATAAGAAGATTTTAAATGTATATGTATTTGTTTTTCATAAAACAATGAACTTTTAGGAATGGGTTTTTCATCTTAAAAAATTTTAATAAACCAAATTGATGATATTGATAAAATTGTTGAAAAATATATCATTCTTTGCAATTCTAATCCTATTTCTATAAGGTTTTCTAATAATTAAAATTATCTTTTTGTTAATTAAGTTAATAATATTAATTATTTTGAACTCAAAAATGAATAAAAATTTAAAGTTTTATTGACAAATTAATCTCAAAACTTTAATAAGCAATTTTTATTAGAAAAATAATAAAAAAGTCTTTTTTGCATTTAAGATAATAAACTTTGTCTTTTAGAAGTTGAAAAAGATTCGAGAATATAATGGATTGAACATTTAAAGTAAAGAGAAATTAATTGTTGTCATTTTTCAGTTGTCTAGTAAAAAATACTAGTAATAGGTAGTTTTTATCAATAATAAATTATTCTAAAAAAATTTAATGTAGAAAGTAAAACATAAGTTGAAAATATCGAAATTGATATTTAATGCAATTGTGAAGGAGATATTCTATTTAATAGAGAGGAAACCTAGATAATGTTTTCTCAAGGACAAATTCTTAGATTATAAGATATTAAAGAGAAAAATAAGTTTCTTTTTTCAGATAAAAATAATACAAATATAAAAAGTTATTAATTTTCAACAGAATGCTAATTGATAGTTTCAAAAGATGCCAATTCAAATGTGTAATTATGGGACATAAAATCATTTAAATTATTAGCAGTATTAAATAACTATCCACATATAATTTCAAATTTTGCTATTACATAAAAAGGAACTTTGATTTATTCATTTGATCAAATGATTAAGATTTGGAATATTTAAGATTTAAAGCAATAGTACTCAACAGGAAATGGTCATAAAGGAGAAATTAAATATTTAAAAGTATCCAATGATGGGAAGGTTTTATTATCATATTCAAAATCGAAAGAATTATTCAAATGGAATCTAAGTACTCTTTAGGAAATAGAGAATAAATCTTTAGAATTAATTGATTGCCCATGTTTTTCACATGATGATAATTACACATTATTAAGGCTTGATAATAAAGATTGTTTGATAGAAAAGAATAATATTTTTAATAGTAAATCTTTTAAATATCGTATAGGATTCACTTAATGTATCAATCTCTAATTATATCTTCCTTCTAATATTTTGTATAGTAGTCATAAAGATAAGTCTCTTATAGTTTGGAATTTTGATGTATTGTATAATTATCAACCAAAAGATAAAGAATAATTAAAATCTAAAAAATCTAAAATTATCATCTCACCAGATCGTAATTACATAATAAATATGGAAGAAGGTTTATTTAATATAATTGATAATAAATTGACAAAATCTTAATTTGATGATGTTATTTATAATAATGGGATGGTCTTCTCTAAAGATTCTAATTATTTAGCAATAGAAACTTTTAATAATTAAATATAAATTTTATCATTATAAATGAGAAATAAATCAATCATTTAAATGTAAGAAAAAATTAGAAGTGATGCAATGATATTTTCTAGTGATAATGAATATTTTTTTTCTTTTTCATCAAAGTTCATTCAAATTTGGAATTGGAAAAATGAATAAATGCCATCTTAGATTTTTCACTTATAGAATCAATTTACTGAAGATTAAGTGCTTTTGGGAGTTGTAGAAAATCGATAGGATGAGATTAGCCTTATATTTTTTTCTCCAAAATTAAATTAATTATAAATTTCAATTATTTAAAGCCAACCTTATTTTGCTAAAGTTAAATCATTTAATAGATAGATTAATAAAAAAGTAGGAAATTTATTAGATCATGTACAATTAGTATATTGTATGCAAAATAATATTTTGGCTATTTAAAACTAATAAAATATTTTATTAATAAACTTTTAAAATGATATAGACTACCCTTTATTAGAAGGATCAAATATAGAATCTCAATACACTTCACAATTATCTTTCACTTCTGATGGTAAATTTCTTATTTCCATAGGTTTGGATGATACTTTAAGATGTTGGGACTTATCAAATGAGAAGGAATTTAAACTATTTGTCTTTTCTAAAGAATATTAACGATTAATTGCATTAAAATTTATTGATAATCAATAAATAATGATAGTAACTAATCTGTTAAATATAATAATAATAAATATAAAAGATCTTTAAGAAATGGCAAAAATTTAATTAAAAAATTACTATATAGAAGAGTTTTTTATTAATAAAAATAAAATATTATATGGGCTTACAAAAAATACTTAAAAAGATCATTTAAAACTTTAGAAAATTGATTCAGATGAAATTATCCATTCTTTCACTGAAAGTATCGATCGCCTTGAAATTTCTGATGAAAATTAATTCTTGTATCTTCAAAAAGGTTAAATTATTCTTATTGAAATTAACAAATAATAGAATTATTAAAGTTAATTTATTAAACAATAAGATGTAAAACGATTTTTTGTTTCACATGATAAATAATTAATTGCTACAACTAATTCAAAATAATTATGTTTATGGAATATAAAAACCAAAGAAGAAAAGTTAAACATGGATAAATTTGATTGTGAGATTATGGAAATATACATAACTAATTGCAAAGACAAATTGATATTAGGAATGAACGATGGGTCTATTTAAATTTACAATATTCATGAAAAACATTTAAATTAGTAAATTCATCCAGTATGTTTTAAAGTATTTTCTAAAGGTCCACCTCTTATGGCTTTAAATTGTTAGATCACAGGAAGTACAATTAAAACTAAAGATAAAGATTTGGAGCAATTTTTTTTATAAAAAGGAGCTAATAAAAAATGATGAATTAATTATTAATATTATAACTTTAATATTAATTATTATACTTACTATTATTAAATTAATTTTTAACTGTTATTTAGCTAAAATTTTATGATTGACTTTTAACCTTCTTAGTATTTTATCTCCTATATTAAAAATAATAAAGTTTTGAACAATGTTTTTAATTCTATATATATTAATTAGTTATTATAGAAAATTAAATGATTATTGTGAAATTATTTATATTTACAAATATAAAAAAAATGATATAAAAATTTGATTTAAATCTAATTGAAAAAGTCTATAAAATAGGATTATTATTTAATGTGTTTAAATCAAATAATTGCATTTAATAAATACCAATTAATCTAAAAAATATTATTACCTTAAATTATTCTTTTTATGCAAAAATATTCTCGAGCGCTAGAACGTAGGGTTTACTCAAATGAGAATCAATTATTGATTAAATATTTGATTTAATATCATAATTGGAAATAGGATTTTATAACTTAAGTAAAGATTAAATTAAATAATTTAAAATGAAATAAAATAAGAATAAATTTATTCTGAATAAGAGAAAAATAAAAATAATATAATAAAAATTTATTACATTATAATTGAAAAGATATATTTTGAATTTTCTTATCCCTATAATTTTAATTTAAAAAATCATAGAAATTCAGGTTTCCTTTTTTGTAAAAAAATTATGTTTCGCCATAATTAATAGGATACCCTAATAGATTGATTATTACTATTTTATAAATTACTAAGTTACACAACTACAGTGATCCATTATTAGACTACTACACTCATTATTAAATACAGGCAGATAAATGTGTAGATATGCAATTAAATTATTTAGTGGCATCAACAAGAAATTAGATTTTAATTTTTATTAATTAATAAATTATTTTTTTTCGAGATAATTTTGTAATTTTGCTCTTTTATACAATTTATGATCGATTTACAATTAAAAATAATTTAAAAATATTTTTAATTCTTATACATATTTGTTAGTGATATTTAATAATTGAAATTTATTCCCAACTATTTTTTTTGAACAAAAACTATCATACTATCCATTAAGTCTTTATCGATTCTTAATTTTTTATTAAAAGTATCTTTGGTTATTTTGACTATTTCATATTTAAACCATTTAAAGTAAATTTTTAACCATTCACCTATACATAATTACTTAAATTGGTAGTTTTACTGTATAAAATCTTTATAGTTCTAACTATTTAAGAAATATTTAAATTAGTAATTAAATGGAGAATCTTATCAAATTATAATGTTTCATTATTTATTGGTCTAATCGTATATCCTTTACTGTGTTAAACATCGATAAATTTAAAATTATATCTAAAAACACTATTGTATTCTTTAATTGATATTAATGCTTCTATTTTGATGCTATGACAATCCGTACATTGTTGATTCATATTTGAATTTATTTCTGTAACTTTTTTGTCAATTGTTAATTATTTGAGATTTATTTTATGAATATACCTAATTTGAGTTAATAAAAATTAATTTTTTAATTAGAATCGAAATTATTAAAATTTAATACAAAGTAAGATTCAAATTTCATAAATAGTAATGAGATTTAAATTAAAACTTAAAATAAAATTATTCTTTGATATTTGTTGATTTAATTCTATTTTCTATTGAAACAATTAAGCTACTTATAAATTAATCATGCACTTTAAATTTATTCTGATTTTTTGAAGTCTTAGCACAATACTATATGGAGTAGCAGTTTTTTGGTATGATTTAAATAGCATCTGTTTTATTTACTTAGAATATATTATTATTATTTAAATTTTTATAATGAGTATTCTGTGTTAAATCAGTACTGCTAACATAAATCATAATTTCAGGATTGATATTTAAACATCAAGATTTTTGCATTCAATATTTATAAATGAATTTTTTCTATAATTTAAAATTTTTTTGTGCCAATAAACTAACATACATTAGAAATGCTAGTTTCAGTACATATTTTGGAAAATTTGCGAAACCACAATTTTATTTCATCTACCTTTTAGGTGCATTGTAAAATATACTCAAGGCGCTTTCTTTAAATAACATTTAATCTATATGATCTAAACTTTGAATTATTCTATAAATTTTGAATAATGATAATGAGTATTCAGACTTATCATTTTAAATAGGTGTTTAATCAGAACAATATTTTTTCTATATTTTAAACAATGATGGTAATATTTTCAAAAAGTATTGTATTATTTTTTTCCTTACCAAAGCACAATTCTTAAAAGGCCAGTGATAAATTTTTTAAATTCAACAACAAATATAATATATGATCATTTATGGAGAGTTTAAATTGGGATAATTAGATCCAACAATTATAAATAAGTTTTTTTTTTTAAAAAAAGTCTTCTAAATCAGCATCCTATAGTAAATAAGACCATTATATGCTTATTATATTTCTAAGGCCACGATAATTAATTGATTTAATCAATATAATTATTACATCACAAGGATTAAGTAAATATTGAGGTATTTCATATTGTTGATAATAAATTGAAAGGAAGTTTAACTTAATTAAAAATAAATTAACTTAGTTTTGTTAAACAATCTTAATATCCTATGGAAGAATTTATAAATATAATTTAATCTCTTGGAATAATTGTAGCATTATCACTTAATTTCAATATCATTTATAAATCATCTTCTTAATTTAATATAGAATCTGGATTATTTCCTAACTTATTGATAGTTTCATCAACTAAAAATTTAAAGCAACTATTCTCTGAAAACTATGTTTCAAATGAATAATGTTTATCCACAATAAGATTCAAAATGGCTTGGATTAAATGACAAATCAAATAGTACTTAAAGTAAATCATCAGTAAATTTAATATCTAAGACAGCAACTTCACAAGCTATAGAAATAAGACATAATAATATACTTGAACACCATTGAGTATCTATATGGCTTACTGAATCTAAAGGCAATCACAAGTCTTTTCATCTGATGATAATAATCTATTTCCTTTACATGTTGAACAACCATTTGAATTACAAGTTTTACATTATTAATCACATTAAAGACAATTTACAATTTGATAATCATTATAAAATTAATCTTAACAATTGCAAACTGGAATATTATAACGATATCCTCTTTAAATTAAATTAAATTGTAATTTATTCATTACAAGTATTAAAATTAGTTTCCTTTGGAAGTCAAACATTAAAAATCACATTCTAATAATATTGTCAAAATTTCTTACATTATATTCAGTCAATCCTTACAATATACTTTTATCAAATGTAAATTTGCAATTCTTTTTTAGCTTAATAAGTTTATTTTTATAAAAAAATATTATTCACTTATATAATACATAATCAATTTATGTTCTAATTTTATTTACCTTCATTCGACAGTGTTCTAAATAGCGACTACCGTATCATAGTTGATATTATATTTGATTTTAAGGAAAAATAGATAAAATTTTTCAACATTTAGTTAAATTGGACTTGAGGAATTAATTTTATAATTTAAGGTAGATTTTGTTAATCACCAACCCCAAATTTTTTTGTAATAAAAAATAAATAAAAATAAGATAGCAGTAATGCCAATCCTTGATTTTGGTTAATATTTTCACAGCCATAACAATGTACTATTAGAATTTGATTGATATTTAATTAAATTTTGTAATTCTATCATGATAAAAAAGTGTGAATCTCATTTAAAGTACGATGAAAAATATATCTGCATTCACATAACCAGACTAAAAGAAGAGGGTAACAAGTTTTCTTGCCACAAATGTTTAAATTGGAAAAAATCCAATGATTTTGTGAAGAGTATGGAAGAACTTGAAGAGGAAGCAAAGGAAAATTTAGTCAAATATGTGGAAATGCAAACTAAAGTAATCAATTCTAACAATGAAATGAAAGGAAAATATATTGAATCAATAACTAAACTATATCACAAATTAAATCAATATTTTGAAAATTAGTAAAAGGCCATAAATTCTTCAATTGAACAATAAAATCAAATACTTACATAAAACATCAACTAAGCTAATCAACTTTTAAACTAATAATCTGTTTTGGATTTACAATCTATTGATAAATTTATTATTTTTGCTTAATTAAATCAAGAAAGTTAAAAAATTATTGAAAATAAATATAATTATATCAATGATTGTATAAATAGATAATTCAATTATGAATTTGCTGAATTTTAATCTAAAGTAAACTAATTTATAACAATGGAATTTAAATTTGATAATGTTCCAAAATATGAAGTTGAATAATTCAAAATTTTAACTGTTGAAAAAAAAGAAAAACTTCCTTATTGCTCAGAGCACTAAATTAAAAAAAAATGGATTTGTATACATCAAGATTGTTTAAAAGAGCAGAAACAAAATTTTCTTTGTTCTGATTGTGCTAAAGTTACTCATGATTAACATTCTAAAGGCAATTTCATTAAGACGATAAAGAAAATAAAGAATGAGTAAAATGAGAAACTTAAAATAATTGAAGAATAATACTAAATGCTAAAGAAAGAATCTGAAAAAAAAATTGATTAAGAACTAGCATAAAATTAATAAAAACAATAGGAAATTTTTGAAAATTATTTATTAATGAGAGAAAATCTTAAAGTATTGGAAGCTCAGTCAATAATTAATCCTTTTAATTAAGATAAATAATATATCTATTCTTCAATTGATTAAAATTTATTATCGTATGATTCAGAAATGATAAATTTGGAGTTTCAATCAAAATTAGAATAATTAGAGTTAAAAAAATAACATATTACCACAATAACAAAAGATGAGTTTGATCAAAAATGCAAATCTATTGAAGAATAAAAAGAAAATTAAAAGAATGAATCATTTAAATTGAAGTAATAAATGCAATATGAAATTTAAATTTCAGATATAATGTAAAAATGATTATTTTGAAATTTTGTTATTATACATTTTATATTGTTAATTCAATCTATTAAAAAGGTTCTAGAAAAAATTATTGATAATCTAGTAATATAATTGAAAAAATGTATAGAATAAATTACTGATATTATAAGAAATATCAATCAATATTTTTGCATTTTCACTTAAAATTTATAAAGGTGTATTTATTCGTAGTTTGCTTTTTAAACATTATTCATATTAATGAAAAAAAAGGAATAATTTAAACAATTTTATTTATTTTAATGTATTTAAAAATTTTAAATATATTGTATAATATATTAAGATATTTGTCTAATATTTTTGAAATTTTGTATATTATTTGTAATATTTGTATAATATTTTAATAATTTTGTATATTTTGTATAACTAGCTCTGCCTCGGACCAGAATTTTTTCAATGTAACCCAAAGAAAAGTTTGGGGTTGGTTATTTTTTTTAGGGTTGATTTGGGGGGGGGGAATATTTATATTTGGAATATATTTTGGGGAATATTTATATTTTTTATATTTCTAAAAATTTTGTATATTTTTTATGTTTTTGTGTATTTTTGTATCTATTTTGTGAATATTTTATAAAAGTAAACTTTTTGAAAAATTGCAATCGAGGTTT